CATAACAGCAAAACAATAAAAGATGGTGACAAAGAAGCCGCGACTATCAGGGATGATGGCAACAGGGGCTGTTTAATAATTTAACCACCCCATGAGGATGCAAATAAAAGGTATCGGAGTGCAAAAACAAATTATTTTTCTTTTCATGTATTGTTCGTATTGTTGTTCCTTTTTTGACTGGTTTTTCTTGCATCTCCCTTTCTTCTAATTGCACCTCCATAATATTCATAAACCCTAAATTACCCTTATTATAAGTATAATAAAAAATAAAAATATTTTGCACCTCTTTCACTCACCCCATCACTAACTTTATATTCCATCTTCTCGAGTATCTTCCAGAAAATCATTCACCATCTTTTTAATTTTTTCTCCACTTCCATAGGGACATTCTAGTGAACAACCATTATCTTCTCGGAATCCATTTTAGAGATATCACATTTTCATCATTTTTACACCTCTAATCCTTAATCCCCCATCATCTTCTCCATCTCTATTTTCTCTTTCGATCTCCAGCATCCACACTCACGTATTAACTTCCATGCACACTTTTCATCTACTCTACATCATTGCACTATCAAATACTTACATTCCCTTCCACACATGTGAAGGGAGGCACGAGATTCAACATAATTCTTCCAACACCTACTTTCATCCTTCTTGGTTTCTCATGTCAATTTTATTTAGCCTTTATCATTGTCTTTTCCATCTTCACCAAGCATCTCCAGCCCCTCTGCATCATAGGAAATGGCCAATGGTTCTATATTTTCAAAGACATCTAGATTGAAACAAGTATCACAATATACAAAGTTCTGAATTCACTAATCTAAAAAGTATTTTTTTAAATGCTTTTCGGATTGTGTGTTTCAAAAAGTATTTTCAGATTCGAAAATGCATTTTGAAACATTCAATATGAAATATAAACATTTGTTTTTGATTAAATGTTCTGGAATACATTTATTGATTAGGAGTTATTTTATGGAATATTCAATCTGAAAAATATTTTCATATTCATGATTGGATGTTTTAGAATGTATTTATGGATATGGAAATACTCTTTTGAAACACTTAATTCAAAATGCATTTTTTTTACATTCTAAATTTTATGTTTTGGAAGATATTTCAAGATTTGGAAATACCTCTTGGAACATCTAATCTAAAAAATATTAAAAAAGAGGAAGTGTTTGGAAATTATAGGTTTTATGGGTGAAGGAACAAAAAGAAAGATGTAGGAAGAAACACCTTTCTTTTTTTTAAGACCTCTTTATTGATATTTTGGTGGTTGGTCTAAATCATTTTGTTTCTTTACATATTTATAAATAATTTATTCCTACACCTATTAACTTTTAAAATTTCACTTTTATCCTTAGTGTGTTCAAAATCCTAATTTGATTTTCTCTCTCATCTTCTCATTTCTTATTGACATCCTCACTACACCCAATCTTTTCCCTTCTTATCTAAGCCATTCGCTACATCCTATTTTCACTGGTCTCACCAACAAACATCATTCACTTGCAACAACGTCACATAACTAGCTAATTGTTTTGTATGGACAAAACATGCATCATCATCTAATTGCTCGTACATGTGAGTTAATGTAGCGACTCCCTAACAATATTCGCCACAAGACCCCAAGTCCCTAAACAACTGCAAATACGACACATTGATAGAAGTTACACTCTTGTCTGTAAAGATAATGCACCCACAAGATGTAATAAGAATGCTCGTGCATCGTACTTCGAACACCCCTTCATGCACAATACACATCTCTCAACTAGCATAATCTTACATGTTGCCCACAACATTGTCTCAATTCTAAAATTTCATTTGACGGTTCTACCTCTAATAAGTCAACCAAAACTAAAACAATAATAGCAAACTCCAATTACACAAATAGACAAAATTGTTCCACAATAGGAAGATGAAGCAGTGTAGACACATAATTCAGATTTAGTTTCATCTCATCGATCGACAAGTGAAATGTATTTGTTTCCCTATGCCACCTCTCCATAAAGACAGATAACAATCCCCTACCTGACGTCTCATAACTTATGTTGCACAAAGGTAACAACCCAAAATTTAAAACATATTCCTCAATATTGTTTGAGGAACCCCTAGTTTATTTAGCTTCCAGCCTTGAGATACTAGTTTAAACTCTCCTCGGTCCTAAACATAATATATGTGTTATCATATTACATAAATTGCAAATTCGTCATCAAATTAACAATGACATTATTTTTTTCACTTACCTTGTTGTCCTAGAATTTTAAAGCCACGTGATCAAAATAATGCAAATGGTGTCTGATGGGTCTTTAGGAAATCCTTTTTCATGCTCTTAATAGTCACCAATCATCGCAGCTGCAACAACAGGGTTCAATATAGAGCTTCACCATACTTCCTCCTACGAATAAATGTTGTGAGTCTCTGTCTTGTAGAATCTTTACTGCTTCGAACATGGGTAGAACCAACACCTTTCGTCCTAGCCATTTCTTTATATGAAAATCATCATATCAAAATCATCATAACAACATACAACTAATTTTGACCAACTTATTAAACAAGCGATAACATTAAACCCAACAAAGAAAAACAGTAAATCCAAAAAAAAAAGATCAATCCAAAACTCATTACTGAATTTGAGAACACATTCTAGATTGACCAATTCGATAAAACTGCCCTGGATTGAACATTCCAGAAAGGGTTTTCGAATTTGGTAATAACTTTTGGATTGAGTAATTAGGTATGCATTGTAATCTTTTTTTGCCTTTTTCTCCTCTTCGCAAACATCCATTTTGTCCTGAAACTCAGCTATCATAAAATGCACATAGATGGAGATACATATTCTTTTGTACCAAACAAAATAAGCACTGTAGAGCAAGCAAGATTGATGGAGGTGCAACTTGGTCTTCTAAATGTGATGGAGGTGCAATAGTGTAAAGAGGAAGGTGCATGATGTTTTTTTGACAGGACTAGTGTTTTTGTATGGGTATGTGTAGGACTAAGAGATATACCTTTCTGACGTAGCCTTCTTGCCTTCCAGTGCTTGAGTCGTCTGCTCCGAACGCTTCCACTCTTGACCGGGCGTGAGGTACCTGCAAAAGGCACTCCGACGCTCACGTTAGGTGTAGTTTAGTGAATTGTTTATCACAATTGAGTATTTAGGATCTAGTCGAACGTACCTGACTTTTGGCCTTGTCATTATATTTATAAGTGTTTCAGAAATCAAATAAAAACAAACTCACCTTTTATCCAGTCAATTGCTCATAAATAACTTATCAATATCTTTAATAGGATATCATTAACATCCTTAAATAATATCCTTTAATCATTTTGGTATTATTTTATTACCTGTCGGATTATATCATTGGCCCTATCCTACTGGAGTTGGCAAGCGTTTGTCTTACTGAGACCTAATGACCATGAACTATGTGTCGGCCCAACATGAATAAGACCATTTACTTTAATCAACGTTCGTTGACTAGAAGAGCAAACCGATCGGTTGCCAGACCATTTACTTTAACCGTTCGGCCATTGCCTATACCTTTTAACCTGGTCTTGGGTGTAACCGTTCGGTCTATACTATATACCATACAACTAGTAGAAATGAGATGCAACAATGACATGGGTAAGAAAGGGGAAGATGAGATGTAGCAACAACAACACCATTAAAAAAGAGAGGATGGAAGAAAAAATTAAATTAGGATTTTTAATGCACTAAGAGTAAAAGTAGAGTTTTAAAAGTTAGGGGTGCCGGAAGAAATAGTTATATTTATGTTTTTTCTATATAAACTTTTTATATTTATGTTTGGCTTACATTTATAATTCATGTTTAATTATTTGGAAAGACAAAGAAGATAGATAGAACACATGAGACAAAAGGAAGAAATTACAAGCAGACATTCCTTAATTTAAAATGTGAAGAGTTGTACATTTATTTTATTATTACTAGTTAGAGTAGAGATTGGTTTTGGAAAAGATGTATATTTGAAGTTAAATTTTTGCTATGCAAGGAAAAGGTTTGCTCAAAGTAATTAAAAGTTTCACACGAAGCTAAAAACTCAATTTCCGTGCAATCAAACAGGGCCATAATGAGAATTTCAATTTCCAAAATTACTTTACATTTCAAGGAAGTATACTAAAAAAATTCTAAAGGCACATTAATACGATATTTTTTAAAGTTTATTTGAAAATGTGCGGCGTATAGAAAAAAAGAACCATTTACAATATGTATGTTTTACTTAAAAAATGTTTCCATAAAAGAGATGCAGTATAACTTATTCAAGTTGGGAATTTATTTATTGAGCTAAAATTAAACAAAATTTAGTACTATGAGAATGATGACATTTTGACATATGATAAATTCATCAAACGCTTGTTCAGGATGGAAAATCTTTCCTGTTTTGGAGTAAAGTACTTTTCCCTCCATCATGAAAACATTATTAATAGTTTGAAATTAACGCAATTTTTGTTTTGTCTGTTTTCAATTCAAAATGACCACAATATGTAAGGCTAAAAAAGAAAACAAGTTGTGGCGGAAGATCATATGATATAAAGGGACAAGAACAGTGTCTTAAGGTTGCGCAAATACCAAGAAATCACACTAACACTTTTGTACATAATAATATATTATTTTCTGAATAAAAAATTGATGATATGAAAAAATTAATTTTGTGATGTCCCTTGGAAATGTGTAAAAGGTGAAGTAGGAGAATAAAGGAGGTGCTAATCTGACTCAAGGCCAACAAAAATGAAGTAAAAGAATGAGATTTATGATAATATAAAATGATAAAAAAGATTGGACCACCACAGCAACTTGTTCAAATTAAGCAATTAACCAAACACCACTTTCTTTTTTTCTCTGCTTTTGACAAGTAGGTAATAGCATGCACACCCGTGATCAATCCCTTCCTTAACCCTATCCTTTCACTTTCACCTATTTGCGTGATTTATGTAACTTCCTATGAAAATTCAGAGCTTATGTTTTTTTTTTTTATTTTTTTTTTTGAGAGGATATCACGCGCATGCAACGCGTGAGAGTATCTGGGTACTTCTTTCTGGTCAACAACAGGGAAGTTGCAGTATGAATAAGGAATAGAAAACCAAGAGCACAGACCAATGATAAGCCTTCTTAACATGCGCACACTCTCTTCCGTAACGAACCCAAACGGTATTTAAACTGTGCACACAGGCGTTCTTCACGTTTTACCATTCTCTCTCTAATTTTTATTTTTTCTTTTGCCTTTTCTGACTCTTGGCTCCTCAATTGGGACGAAAAGTCGAAGCTTCCAAGAAACCGAACCATCCATAGCTGACTCCGCAATCTTTCTTCGATTTCACACTTTATTTCTCTGAATTCTCCGCTATGCGATTTGGGGAGAAGGTCTTGCTTCTGTTTCAGTGTGGCTTTTTTCGCAGTTTAAGGAACCGGGATTAGGGTTTTTGCGGCGGTGTCATGGCGGATGATGATGTCGACTTTTCGAAACTGTTCCATGGTGATGATGATGACGATGGCATGTTTTATATAGATATGAACACCGTTCAGAAGGTTCTTGATGAAGACGATAATTGTGATTTTCTGGAGGTAGGGTTTTTTTTCCCTCTTGCGGAACAGAGAATGCTGTGTGTGTGACTGTGTTAGTGAGGTTACTGTGAAAACCGAATTAGTAATTGAATCGTGACAAACGAAGTATCCTGTGATAGAAGAGTTGAAGCTTCTGTGCAGTGACAAAGTCAATTCTGTCATTCGATCTCAGAAGATTTGTTTATTTTACTTTGTTGAATTGATGATGTAATCTGCTCAGAACTGGAAGGCCTGTTGTTTAAATTTGTTTAACCAGTAATAATTATTTTTATTTAGGTAACTATTGTTTAATTTGACACTTTATTTGATTATTTATTCTCTAGTTCATCGAAAGTAAGAAATTTATGGCATGGTTATTAACATGACAAATTTGTGCTTGAAAAGCATGAGATTTGTGTTCCTAGGAACGATTTTTTGTAAAAGAAAGGAAAACGGAAGGTCAATTCATGCAAGGAGTGTGGTATAGTAGCTTTGAAGTGATTCTTAGAAAAATATTTCTAGCACACGTTATTATTTACTTAGTTTTTGAAGTTCATTGCTTCTGTGTTTGTATTCACATTCACTTGACAATGGGAAATGCCAGTGACGTGCAATCCATCTGTGCCTGCGTCACTTAGTTCCACTCAAAGTGTGAAGGTCTGCCCTCCAATCCTCCGAAAAACCATTTCTTACATTTTAAAAATAATAACTAACCAATGTAATTATCGTTGCCAGTGAAAAATGTGTCATTTTGTCTTGGACTTGGGTCATGTATGTTATGCTGTTAAGCTCGACATTTTGGATACTAGGGGGCATATTTCTTCTGTATTGTTCTGTTAAGAAGATAAAGAGTTGTAAACTATTTTAAATTTCTTACCAAAACAATGAAGTGTATTTGGTTTAGTTACTGTGTTGTTATTCTGTTTTTATGATAGTGTGATTCATATAACTGACCTCACTTAGTGGGATAAGGCTTTGTTGTTGTTGTTTTCATATTGAGGAGTGGGGTTGTGTATAAAGATAGAGGTTTGGCGTTCTGCTTGGAGTTTGGGAAGCTGTGTTGTCTGTCACTATATATACAAAAATAACTGGGCATATTTTGCATTTCAATTTTTTTATTTGACAACAAAATTGAAACAATCATCTAATTTTTTCAGTTTCCTTCTTGTCTTTTCATGCTTGATATTATCCTTATACCTTTTTATGTTATGTCCTAGCAGAAATTTCCCGATGATTCTTCATCAAAAAATGTTTCACCCAGTGAATCTGGAACTCATGACTCATTTCAGATACAAAATGGTATGTAGATATGTGTTTTTGAGTCTTATATAACTTATGTATTTTGGTTGCAATTGGCTGTCAATGAGGAGAACTGGACATTATGGTTCTTGAGTTAATTTGAATCATGGATGTAAAATCAAATTTCTGATATTATGTCTTGCTTTGGATTGATTCCTTTTCATTTTCATTAGGGTCTCAAGTGTTAGAAGAACAACAGTTTTCTAGGTTGGGCTTTGCAGATTCAGTCACGAGTTGTTCTCCGTTCTGCTCAGATGGCTCGGATTCTGGTGTCAGAGGTTCATTTGGTGTATCTGATTCTGTAGCAAATTCTTGGCTTGATATTGAACCTGAAAACGAGGGACCTCAATCCCAGGCATGCTCCTCCCCAAATGCATTTCCCGGTAATCTCAGTACCCTCTCCCCAGGTGAAAGTGATGAGGTTTTCTGCACAGAGAGGACCAGAGTCTCTAAACATGAGATACCTGCTTGCAGTGTGGAATCAAGTTTCCCTGAGGCACAGTCAAAAGATATATCAATTTGTAGAGATAATTTGAATCCAAGTCCGTGGAAAGTTGAAAATGAGATCCAATTCAAGCATTTCCGAGAGGATGTTGAATTTGAAAGTATGTGAAATCTTCACTTGGATATGGTTGTGAAGAATCTCAAAATTTTACTTTAGACCATTATATATTTGAAAATTTAGCAACAATCTGATTATATTTTTTACTTGTAGATACTTCAATCAGTTCTATAGTTGACAATGATGATATAAATATCGAAGGTTATGTTGAAGACACCACTGGAGGAGTTTCCGGGCCACAGGAAAATGATTCGTGTACATCTTTTGAAACATTTATGGATGCTGATAGATTTTTGCATGTTGCAACTTCACCTGATTCTACTATTGGTCAAGGTTCTCATGGTTCCAGTGATTTCATTGACTACCATGGATCTTCAACTTATTACGAGGGAATGCATAGTGGACCCTTTGTTGCTGACTCTTCTCTTGGTATTTTTCCAAATGGTTTTTGCTCTCAATTGCCAAATGACGAAATGATGAATAACATGAAGGCCAAAAGTGTGGAGTTAAATTCTGATATTTCATGTATGAGTAATGGCATGCCCTCAAACACTACTGGGTGGACGTCTTTTCAAGATTTAACTGATAATGTTTATCCATCTTTTCATTCTAGAAAAGTTAATTTTGATGACCTGCCATCATTGTCTCTTTCAGCTTATGATTCATACGTACCATATGAAGACCATTATCAGGATGCTAAGTTCAATGTAGGCCAATCGGTGAGACAAACACCTGATATTTTTTCTTCTATAGGGTCTCAGGCTTACCAATTTTATGAGAATGAGGATAATTATGCAGTTATATCTGGGATATCCAATCAATATCAAGATATCAATGGTAGAATTGCTAGTTTTCAAGAAAATGTGGACAATTTGAATTTACAAGCTGCAAATATATCTTGGCCCCATGCCCAGGCACTAATTACCAGTGAGAACCAGTTTGGTTGTGTTAAGAGAGAAGGAGGGGTTCGACATAAACTTGCTGATTCTCATCTTTCAAAAGGAAAATTTGAGAATTTCCATGTCGAGGAAGACCCTGATGTTTGCATTATTGAAGACATCAGTCATCCTGCTCCGACAAGTCTATCTACAATCAGTGGGAATTCGTCTAATATTTCTCAATCGTCTAGATATGCTGATTCTCAGTCTTACATGGCTGGAAGTACTAGGCTGAAGGCATGTGATGAGCGTAATATATTACGGGTTGCATTGCAGGTTGGCTTCTTCATTTTATGGTTTTTATGCTTTGTATCTGTTGGCAGATATGAAAGTATTCTTCTGCCACTGCACTTAGCTCTTTAGTGGTTTGTTGTAGGATCTATCTCAGCCAAGGTCAGAAGTTAGTCTACCAGAAGGGTTGTTGGCAGTTCCTCTCTTAAGGCATCAGGTTACTTTTCTTGTCCAATATTTTAAAAATAGAAAACTTCTATGACTTATTCAGTGAGTGAATGAATCAATCATATCAGTACTTATCGTATGTCACACACTCACACTTGAACACCTTCTCATTGTCTTTAAAGATGTGAAGTGTCAAAGGCACCGTTATCCTAAAGTTCATTGTCATGTATTTCGGTTCATTTCCTTGACAAATTGTTCTAATAATTATTTCCTCTGACAATAAAAAGAATTCAACTTTCCTCAGGAATAAGATTGTTGAGACTAGACTCATAGATTCATGTGACAAACAATGTAATGATGCCTTATCACTCATTTTTACTAAAAAAAGTGTGTATTCTTTGAAAATTATGTCTTGTTGGATCATACAGGACAAGAACTCCTGTGTGCTCTTCGTGTGTCTAATTCTGATTGCCGACCTGATCCTTTGTAAACTCAATCCTATTTTTCCTGAGCTGTTCTGATAACTTGCTTTGTATATATAATTGGGACATTGAAGATTCCAACTAATTGTGGTTGCCCTGTTTAGAGAATTGCTTTATCATGGATGGTTCAAAAGGAAGCATCAAGTTTTAATTGCTCAGGAGGAATTCTTGCAGATGATCAGGTTAGTTGTCTGCAGTGTTAATACGAGATTATAAGTAATTGATTAAATGTAATTTTCTTAGCCTTAGTGAGTTAAAGTTTTTTTTCTTGTAGGGACTTGGAAAAACAGTATCAACTATTGCATTAATATTAAAGGAAAGACCTCCATTACCTAATGGGGGCACCAATGCCCACAAAAGTGAATTGGATTCTCTGAATCTGGATGTGGATGATGACGTGCTTCCTCAGAACGGTAGAGTAAAGGAAGAATCTAATACTTGTGAGGATGAGTCAAGTAGACATCCAATCAAGAGTATGAATTTGCAAAACCAAGCAAAGGGAAGGCCATCTGCCGGGACCCTTATTGTTTGTCCCACTAGTGTCCTACGTCAATGGGCAGAGGAGTTGCGTAGCAAGGTAACTAGTCAAACAAAAATCTCTGTGCTAGTATACCATGGAAGCAATCGGACAAAAGATCCTTATGAGGTTGCAAAGTATGATGTTGTTCTAACAACTTATTCCATTGTCAGCATGGAGGTTCCTAAGCAGCCTTCAGCTGACAAAGATGATGAGGAAAAAGGAAATGTTGAAGATCATGCTGTACCGAGTAGGAAAAGAAAAAGTCCCTCTAATTCTAGTAAAAATGGCAAGAAGAGATCAGATGGAACAGTTCTTGAAACTAATGCTCGCCCGCTTGCAAAGGTGGCATGGTTTAGGGTTGTCTTGGATGAGGCACAAAGTATAAAGAATCACAAAACTCAAGTTGCAAGGGCCTGTTGGGGTCTTCGTGCTAAGCGAAGATGGTGTTTGTCAGGGACTCCTATCCAGAATGCAATTGACGATCTCTACAGTTACTTCAGATTTCTAAGATATGACCCTTATGATGTCTATACATCATTTTATTCTAAAATTAAGAACCGAATTAGTAGAGATCCAGCAAACGGATATAGAAAGCTACAAGCTGTCTTGAAGACTATAATGTTACGCCGGACCAAAGGTGAGATTTGATTAATTTGAATGCATGAACTTTGCGTCAACAAAAGAGTAGGCTAGAATTATTAGTTATTTCCTAGTTTGCCATCTTAGTCATCCATAACAATTGATAAAGTTGATTATCAGATTTTGTGTATACAGCTTTTTCCAAAATTATATAACCATTTCCTTTTTCTCAAGATATAAAATTATCATTTCAATTTTGTATGCTTTATTACATGGATAGAATTTTAGGCATTGGATAGAATTAGATAATTTATCATTTTATAGTTTCCCTTTCCTGTCTTGTAGTAGCCAGTGCATTGTTCTTGAGCTCATTCCTCTAAGCAATCAATAGTTCTATGGATTTCAAATTTGCCAGTGTAACCATGCGATACTATTTTTCTTCAGGTACACTTCTTGACGGGGAACCTATTATTTCCTTGCCGCCTAAATATATAGAGCTGAAAAAGGTTGATTTTTCAACTGAGGAACGTGATTTCTATTACAAACTAGAGGCTGATTCACGTGCACAGTTCCAGGTATGGTCTTTCCTTTAGATAGTAAGCTTTATGTGACTTGCAATATTTTGTTTGCTTGAGCCTATTTTCCAACCCAAATCTTGGTAAGCCATATTTGAAGTCCACTATTTACATGTATGTGATGTGATGTCATGTCAGGAATATGCTGATGCTGGCACTGTCAAGCAAAATTATGTCAACATTTTGCTGATGCTCCTGCGCCTTAGACAAGCTTGTGATCACCCTTTGCTTGTCAAGCGATACAATTCAAACTCTCTATGGAGATATTCGGTTGAGATGGCAAAGACACTTCCTCAGGAAAAACAAATCTCTCTTCTGCAATGTTTAGAGGCTTCTTTGGCCCTCTGTAGCATTTGTAACGTATGTATTGACCATCCTTTGGTATTTATAAAATTGGATTTGTCTGACTGCTCATCTGTGTGTGTTGGTTATTTGTTTGCTTGAATCTAAACTGGTTAACTGTAGTTGTATATTAGTTCTTAAGGTAACAGACTTATAGATTGTGCTTGTAAGGGGTTAGAGCAGCTTTAAAAGTAAACTCGAGTGAAGTAAAAGTGAATGGAGTGGAAAAGGTTTAGTTTAATCTTAAAACTTATTCCCTTGCAGAAATCGGGGAAGGGTGATTGGGAATTATTTTTATCATCCTTACTTGAGTTGAGGTTAAAGGACTTGTATCATTGTTGCATGCGTGTATCATCCACATTAAATGTATTTTCTGCCACAGTATAGGTCCTCCCGAACTCCTCGGATTTACCTTTCCTAATACTTGTTTTCTGGACAGGATCCTCCGGAAGATGCATTTGTTTCAGTTTGTGGTCATGTTTTCTGTAACCAATGCATATGTGAACATCTTACTGGTGATGACAACCAGTGCCCTGCTGCAAATTGCAAAATTCGACTGAGCACATCTAGGGTATTCTCAAAAGTCACTCTGAACAATTGTCTTTCTGACCAGGGTTGTGATAATTCACCTGGTTGCCCTGCTTCTGAAGTGGAAGAATTTGAGCCTTGGTCTCAAAGTCAGTCATATGAATCTTCAAAAATAAAGGCTGCACTTGAGGTTTTGAAATCACTGCGTAAGCCACAGTCCTATACCTCAAAAAGCACTTCTGAGAATAGAACTTTGAGGGAAGATAATGGTTGCCCTGGGAACCCCTCGGATGTTGAAAATGGGAAATCCTCAATTAATTCTCATGAGTGTCAAAATTTGTCTGATGAGAATAGATACCATAGTGATTCAGTTACTGTCGTAGGGGAGAAAGCTATAGTGTTTTCTCAGTGGACGAGGATGCTAGATTTGCTTGAAGAGTGTCTCAAGAAATCTTCGATTAATTATAGAAGGCTTGATGGAACAATGTCGGTTGTTGCCAGAGATAAAGCTGTTAAAGATTTTAACACTCTTCCCGAGGTTAGTGAAATTGCAGATCCCTTAAATCATGATTCAATTTCTTGTTCCCACGGCATAATATTGCAGCCAGATTCATTGAATGATGAAGTTTGACGTGCTGTCTTGTAGGTATCAGTTATAATTATGTCTTTGAAGGCTGCCAGTCTTGGTCTAAACTTGGTGGTAGCTTGCCATGTTCTTATGCTAGATTTATGGTGGAATCCTACAACTGAAGACCAAGCAATAGATAGAGCACATCGAATTGGGCAGACTCGTCCTGTGACTGTCTTGAGATTAACTGTGAAAGATACAGTTGAAGATCGAATTCTAGCTCTGCAGGTAATTTTTTGTGCCATAGTACGTTGCTTTTAGTAACTCTGTGTTGAGTTCTAGGAAGCGGTTTATATTGTTCTAGTTAGCACCTAGGTGAAATCGTGTTTATACGGTTGGTTTTTTAAGCTAGAATGATTTGTTGTGGGGGAAGTTAGTGTTTTAAATAATGTTCCTGGCAGGAGATTAGAATGCTTCTGCACAGTCAGTCAATGGCGCCTACACTTTTTTTGTTTTATTGGGTTGAAATGCTTAAAATATACCATGTGTGTTAATAATAATTATTTGAGCTGAATAATGTGTTGTATTTTGCATAACAACGATTTAGTTGGTCCCATCTGAATAATAAGTGTCCTGATTGCATTTTAAATCTGACATGTTCTTGCAGCAAAAGAAGAGAACGATGGTTGCATCTGCCTTTGGGGAGGATGGAACTGGTGATCGTCAGAGTCGCCTCACTGTGGATGATTTAAAATATTTGTTCATGATGTGATTAGACGTACATATTTACATATATAGTCAACATTTTTTTGATTGGTGATTTTTTACCTGGGGTGGGGTAGGGGGATGGTATTATCTTCGGTTTCTTTCTGCTGACTGCTGAAGAAACCAGAAACAAATTTTCTAACAAAGAATTGCAAGTAGTAACAAGGTCCGTATTAACGAATGACTTGAAGATTATATGAAATGTTTATGTTTAGAATGAGATGTTTCATTCTTTGAACTGGAAATTTTAGTTAAATCTTGCATCATTGTAGGATATGTAGAGAACAGAAACATATATAGCAACAGAGATTTCATGGATTGTTTCTTTTCATTGTAAATTATATAGAAATTTTCTCTCCATCTTTTGAGTACAATTTCTAAGGTCGAATGCAATAATACATAGTCAAATAATTTTTTTATGAATTTCAAAATATTCTATTATTGTATATTTTTAATAAATTAATCTATTTAAGGTGTTCGAAACTCGATTTTTTAAGTCCGAGGATTATGTTGAAAGTGTAATTTTAATTTGAAGAGTAGTATTAAAAACAGTCTTTATTGTAATATCTTTAGTGATTAGAAATTATTAAAACCTACACAATTAAAACAGAATGCTTAAAATAAGTTGCGGTGTTTATCAATTTTTCAGTCAATAACAGAGAATCTACTCAAAACTGTGTGGGAAAGTGCATTCGTAACAATAGAAGAAAAAACTATGAGCACAAGTGTAACATCTCATGAAGCATATAACATAGTAAATCCACATTTAAATAAACGAAAACAGTTAGAGTAAACTGTAAACAAAGTAGTTAAGCTTACAGTCATACCAGAATGAGGCATAATTTAAAACTTAAACGCAAGTAGAGTGTTTCAAAAGGATAGGAACCACCGGAAAAATCCTTAATAGCTAAACAGTGCCTTCCTCCAAAGCCTGCTCCAGAGGCACCTCATCCATCTCTGCTCACATCCAAGTGGATGATCATTGCAAAAGAAAGCATACCCAAGCAAACACAAACACACAAGCAAGGGTGAACTAGATATAAAAATCATGTTATTAACCGTCATAGGCAACATGCAAGTAAAGACAAATATACTATATTATACAGACATGACTTGTTGCACTTAAACTTGACTCGTCCGGACTTAGAATGATTGCCGAGCTATGGCGGGTTATGCACTCGTGGTGGCTTCTACTGCTTTGCAAAGCCATTGCTAATGAGTTTCACCCTACCACACTCACAAGGTTAGTCCGTTATCACTCCCCTTGGGCCATACTGGAAGCACCCAAGACTAGGACCTCCTGTTACTCCTCACCACATGGATCAATCCTCTCTACTTGAGAATGAAAGACCATTGGAGCGTCAGGAAAACCCCCAAGACTGAGCTACCGTGCAAATCATTCTAAACACACTAAAAGGGCACCACCATGTATTCCCCTTGAGGATCATGGAATTACTTCCAATACTAATACTTTCCACTTTACACCAACATTTTAATGCATACATAAACCCTTAAAGCAACTAGAACAATTAAGTAACATAGCACACTGGAATAAATAGGAATATAGGCCGAACAGGAAACAACAACCAATAATGGCAAGACCGAACACCCTGTGAACGGTGAAGACCAACGGTATCTCACTTCCCAAGAGACAGGACCGAACGGTCCATAAATGGAAAGACTGAAGAGTGACCGAACACTATTCAAGATCGCTCACTAAGAGAGGCCGAACGCTACTTAAGAGACCATCCACTAAGATCGAACGCTACCAAGACCACCCACTAAGACCGTACGCTACTTAAGAGACCGAATTCTCTTTAAGGGACAGAACGCTACCAAGACCACCCACTAAGACCGTACGCTACTTAAGAGACCAAACTCTCTTTAAGAGACCGAATGCTACCAAGACCACCCACTAAGACCGAATGCTCAACAAGACCGAGCACTAAGACCGAACACTATTACGACCGAACGCTAAGACCGAACGCTCAACAAGACAAAGCACTAAGGCAGAACTCCACTTAAGATGAGCACTAAGACTGAACACTATTACGACCGAACGGTAAGACCGAACGCTCAACAAGACAGAGCACTAAGGCCGAACTCCACTTAAGATGAGCACTAAGACCGAACACTATTACGACCGAACGCTAAGACCGGGCACTTAACAAGACAGAGCACTAAGGTCGAACTCCACTTAAGATGAGCACTAACACCGAACACTATTACGATCGAGCGCTAAGATCGAACGCTCAACAAGACAGAGCGCTAAGGCCGAACGGTTATCAGTTGCGAAACTCCCTAATTCTGTAGAATTATGAACAACACCTAACACAACCATTCCTAACAATTTTTACTAACTTCTAACATATTCTAGTCCAGTTTTGTGATCCTAACAAGTCAGAAATGACTTGCCTAAGATGTCCCAACAGCCCAAATGTGCCCAGAACCCTTACTTCCCAAAACCCTTACAGAATACCAATTTTTCATCCATTGACTGTTACAACATGTCTCTCAGCCCAAACGCATCAACATAGACATTATAGAATTTAAATACATCTCAAAACAGTTTACATACATTACAATCCAGTTTCACAGTCATTCAACCCAACACATGCAACTAAGTTTTTCCAAATCAAAACACAATATCAACATTCCATTAGCACAACACTCAACATACAGTTCATGCAACCAATTAAAGAAACATTCTAGCTCCCCTTACCTTGAAACTTCTTTGCTCAGCTCAATGACCCGCAGCTTCAGTACTCCACATGCGAATAATCTAGACATCACCCTACAACTCGCAATGCGGTGACCAAGAACAGCTCTTAGAGCTAGAATGAACGGAGGAAAATATAAAGAAGGGTACACTAGGCACATGCAACTTGCCCTAGGTCCCAAATAGCGGAGAACAGTGAAGAGCTACTTACCCGCTGAAGAATGAAAATCTATTCGGATGGTTGCGAAGGTCTCTACGCCACGGTCACGTGGGCACCACCTAATCCAACATGCAACCACTAAACGTGAGGGAATGGTAGAGAGAAGGCAGAGAGAAATGGAGGGACAAACTTTTTAGAGAGAGAATGAGAAGCTGAGATAATGAGCTCAGATCTGAAAAGCCCCTCTTAAGATCATAGTGTCCTTAGTGTTATGGATCTGGCTACTTCAACATAAGACACAATTGCCATATATTTTCATGCCCTACTTAAATTTAATCCATTATACATCTCTTGCTCCATGTACACCTTACTGTAAATTTATCGAATAATCTGTGAGTGGTTTTGTAAAGCTACGATTTATCAATAATCATGTTGATCTAATTTTTCTGGTTAGTGGAGTTTCGTATAATTAAAGACATGAGTTTAGGAAATTATAATTAATTCGACATCATAAATGTAAAAGAATAAACAAAACTAGTGCAGATTTGAAAATCTGTTTATATAAACAAAAACGAAAAAGTAAAACAAAATTAGTTATCATTTTTGGTTTCCCTCAAAAACTAGCATCCTTCCATTTTGGTGAATTTGTACTTTAGCATCCAGTAGTTTTTGAAGAATTTAAAGGTCTTCCTTTCGTTCTATGAACTCTCTGATCCTAAAGAAACCAAATTAACCAAACAATACTCAAAAATCTGAATTTCGTTGCAGAGCTGCAACTTGCAATCAAAAGGGTCGACTCAAGGATTAAATAAATAGAGAACCTGCTCTAATAATCTAAAGATATATGTACTTATTAATAATATAATGTATATTGCATAAGCAGCATTAATATATAAAAAGTAATTGAATAAATGCATTATTTTACTATAACTAAGCCTCCCATTTTGTCATTTGTTTCTTCGTGAAAAGTTACATTCAATAATTGAAAAATTCTCAATTAAAATTAAAATTATATAAACACATGATAAATTATAATTACAAATTATATGATATAAATAAGAAAACCCAAATTTAATTATCTATAAAAAAATATTAACTTAAATCGATGACTTATTTTAATTAATTGTTTTACATCCTAAAATTCTCAAATAATGTTAAATCAAATTATTATCATTTAAATAAAATAATCATAATAAAATACCGAAAGTCAAAGTTTGCTTCACATACATACTGGTAAGCTTAAGCTATGTATCAGAGCCAAAAGTGGTAGCTTTTGTTCATGATTTGCCCATACAGAAACGATGAAGTGAACATTTGGTGAAGGGAATAAATTTCTTGCATCAATATATTAATAACTTAGAATTGTTGGATGAAATGGACAGTACAGTTCACATTTTGGTGTTGCCAGTCCGATGATATAATTTTGTTTGTAGCATCGAATTCACCAAATGCATCAAGACAATTAACAAAACAGAACCTTGAAACCTTCGTCATTGAAGTCTTGTTTCCCCACCAGACCTAGCGAGCAGCCACGACAGAACATCGTTTCTGACAATCTCAACATTTTCATCGGTCTCTCCGAACAGCAAGGAATGCATCATCCCGTCGTAAACCTTGATGGTCTTATCGAGGGTCCTGGCTTCGCGGTACAACTCCCTACTCACATCGGGGTCGGTGACAGCATCGGCGCTGCCGTGCAAGACAATGAAAGGAAGGTTGACATCAGAGAGCCTCTGATTGAGGAAGTCGGTAACCCTTAAAAGTTCGACGACGGTGCCCAACCTCGGCTTTCCGCGATACCTCAAAGGGTTCATGTTGGCGATGAGTTTCTTGCGGGGAACCTTGACGGACTTGAAGAGGAGATCGGGGGTGGGGACGATGGGGAGAGTGGGGAAGAATCTGGCGAGGAAGGTGAGGATCTGGGGAATGGGCCATCTGGGTCTGACGCTGTCGGAGATTTTGCACATGGGGGCGACTAAAACGGCGCCGTTGAAGGGTTCCGGGGAGAGGAAGTGTATGAGGAGGCAGATGGCGGCGCCCATGGACTCGCCGAAGAGAAAAGAGGGGAGGTGTTGGAATTGGGGGTTTTGTTGTTTGATAGAGTTGAAGAAGGACNAATTATTTGAGCTGAATAATGTGTTGTATTTTGCATAACAACGATTTAGTTGGTCCCATCTGAATAATAAGTGTCCTGATTGCATTTTAAATCTGACATGTTCTTGCAGCAAAAGAAGAGAACGATGGTTGCATCTGCCTTTGGGGAGGATGGAACTGGTGATCGTCAGAGTCGCCTCACTGTGGATGATTTAAAATATTTGTTCATGATGTGATTAGACGTACATATTTACATATATAGTCAACATTTTTTTGATTGGTGATTTTTTACCTGGGGTGGGGTAGGGGGATGGTATTATCTTCGGTTTCTTTCTGCTGACTGCTGAAGAAACCAGAAACAAATTTTCTAACAAAGAATTGCAAGTAGTAACAAGGTCCGTATTAACGAATGACTTGAAGATTATATGAAATGTTTATGTTTAGAATGAGATGTTTCATTCTTTGAACTGGAAATTTTAGTTAAATCTTGCATCATTGTAGGATATGTAGAGAACAGAAACATATATAGCAACAGAGATTTCATGGATTGTTTCTTTTCATTGTAAATTATATAGAAATTTTCTCTCCATCTTTTGAGTACAATTTCTAAGGTCGAATGCAATAATACATAGTCAAATAATTTTTTTATGAATTTCAAAATATTCTATTATTGTATATTTTTAATAAATTAATCTATTTAAGGTGTTCGAAACTCGATTTTTTAAGTCCGAGGATTATGTTGAAAGTGTAATTTTAATTTGAAGAGTAGTATTAAAAACAGTCTTTATTGTAATATCTTTAGTGATTAGAAATTATTAAAACCTACACAATTAAAACAGAATGCTTAAAATAAGTTGCGGTGTTTATCAATTTTTCAGTCAATAACAGAGAATCTACTCAAAACTGTGTGGGAAAGTGCATTCGTAACAATAGAAGAAAAAACTATGAGCACAAGTGTAACATCTCATGAAGCATATAACATAGTAAATCCACATTTAAATAAACGAAAACAGTTAGAGTAAACTGTAAACAAAGTAGTTAAGCTTACAGTCATACCAGAATGAGGCATAATTTAAAACTTAAACGCAAGTAGAGTGTTTCAAAAGGATAGGAACCACCGGAAAAATCCTTAATAGCTAAACAGTGCCTTCCTCCAAAGCCTGCTCCAGAGGCACCTCATCCATCTCTGCTCACATCCAAGTGGATGATCATTGCAAAAGAAAGCATACCCAAGCAAACACAAACACACAAGCAAGGGTGAACTAGATATAAAAATCATGTTATTAACCGTCATAGGCAACATGCAAGTAAAGACAAATATACTATATTATACAGACATGACTTGTTGCACTTAAACTTGACTCGTCCGGACTTAGAATGATTGCCGAGCTATGGCGGGTTATGCACTCGTGGTGGCTTCTACTGCTTTGCAAAGCCATTGCTAATGAGTTTCACCCTACCACACTCACAAGGTTAGTCCGTTATCACTCCCCTTGGGCCATACTGGAAGCACCCAAGACTAGGACCTCCTGTTACTCCTCACCACATGGATCAATCCTCTCTACTTGAGAATGAAAGACCATTGGAGCGTCAGGAAAACCCCCAAGACTGAGCTACCGTGCAAATCATTCTAAACACACTAAAAGGGCACCACCATGTATTCCCCTTGAGGATCATGGAATTACTTCCAATACTAATACTTTCCACTTTACACCAACATTTTAATGCATACATAAACCCTTAAAGCAACTAGAACAATTAAGTAACATAGCACACTGGAATAAATAGGAATATAGGCCGAACAGGAAACAACAACCAATAATGGCAAGACCGAACACCCTGTGAACGGTGAAGACCAACGGTATCTCACTTCCCAAGAGACAGGACCGAACGGTCCATAAATGGAAAGACTGAAGAGTGACCGAACACTATTCAAGATCGCTCACTAAGAGAGGCCGAACGCTACTTAAGAGACCATCCACTAAGATCGAACGCTACCAAGACCACCCACTAAGACCGTACGCTACTTAAGAGACCGAATTCTCTTTAAGGGACAGAACGCTACCAAGACCACCCACTAAGACCGTACGCTACTTAAGAGACCAAACTCTCTTTAAGAGACCGAATGCTACCAAGACCACCCACTAAGACCGAATGCTCAACAAGACCGAGCACTAAGACCGAACACTATTACGACCGAACGCTAAGACCGAACGCTCAACAAGACAAAGCACTAAGGCAGAACTCCACTTAAGATGAGCACTAAGACTGAACACTATTACGACCGAACGGTAAGACCGAACGCTCAACAAGACAGAGCACTAAGGCCGAACTCCACTTAAGATGAGCACTAAGACCGAACACTATTACGACCGAACGCTAAGACCGGGCACTTAACAAGACAGAGCACTAAGGTCGAACTCCACTTAAGATGAGCACTAACACCGAACACTATTACGATCGAGCGCTAAGATCGAACGCTCAACAAGACAGAGCGCTAAGGCCGAACGGTTATCAGTTGCGAAACTCCCTAATTCTGTAGAATTATGAACAACACCTAACACAACCATTCCTAACAATTTTTACTAACTTCTAACATATTCTAGTCCAGTTTTGTGATCCTAACAAGTCAGAAATGACTTGCCTAAGATGTCCCAACAGCCCAAATGTGCCCAGAACCCTTACTTCCCAAAACCCTTACAGAATACCAATTTTTCATCCATTGACTGTTACAACATGTCTCTCAGCCCAAACGCATCAACATAGACATTATAGAATTTAAATACATCTCAAAACAGTTTACATACATTACAATCCAGTTTCACAGTCATTCAACCCAACACATGCAACTAAGTTTTTCCAAATCAAAACACAATATCAACAGTCCAGTAGCACAACACTCAACATACAGTTCATGCAACCAATTAAAGAAACATTCTAGCTCCCCTTACCTTGAAACTTCTTTGCTCAGCTCAAGGACCCGCAGCTCCAGTACGCCACATGCGAATAATCTAGACAACACCCTACAACCCGCAATGCGGTGACCAAGAACAGCTCTTAGAGCTAGAATGAACGGAGGAAAATATAAAGAAGGGTACACTAGGCACATGCAACTTGCCCTAGGTCCCAAATAGCGGAGAACAGTGAAGAGCTACTTACCCGCTGAAGAATGAAAATCTATTCGGATGGTTGCGAAGGTCTCTACGCCACGGTCACGTGGGCACCACCTAATCCAACATGCAACCACTAAACGTGAGGGAATGGTAGAGAGAAGGCAGAGAGAAATGGAGGGACAAACTTTTTAGAGAGAGAATGAGAAGCTGAGATAATGAGCTCAGATCTGAAAAGCCCCTCTTAAGATCATAGTGTCCTTAGTGTTATGGATCTGGCTACTTCAACATAAGACACAATTGCCATATATTTTCATGCCCTACTTAAATTTAATCCATTATACATCTCTTGCTCCATGTACACCTTACTGTAAATTTATCGAATAATCTGTGAGTGGTTTTGTAAAGCTACGATTTATCAATAATCATGTTGATCTAATTTTTCTGGTTAGTGGAGTTTCGTATAATTAAAGACATGAGTTTAGGAAATTATAATTAATTCGACATCATAAATGTAAAAGAATAAACAAAACTAGTGCAGATTTGAAAATCTGTTTATATAAACAAAAACGAAAAAGTAAAACAAAATTAGTTATCATTTTTGGTTTCCCTCAAAAACTAGCATCCTTCCATTTTGGTGAATTTGTACTTTAGCATCCAGTAGTTTTTGAAGAATTTAAAGGTCTTCCTTTCGTTCTATGAACTCTCTGATCCTAAAGAAACCAAATTAACCAAACAATACTCAAAAATCTGAATTTCGTTGCAGAGCTGCAACTTGCAATCAAAAGGGTCGACTCAAGGATTAAATAAATAGAGAACCTGCTCTAATAATCTAAAGATATATGTACTTATTAATAATATAATGTATATTGCATAAGCAGCATTAATATATAAAAAGTAATTGAATAAATGCATTATTTTACTATAACTAAGCCTCCCATTTTGTCATTTGTTTCTTCGTGAAAAGTTACATTCAATAATTGAAAAATTCTCAATTAAAATTAAAATTATATAAACACATGATAAATTATAATTACAAATTATATGATATAAATAAGAAAACCCAAATTTAATTATCTATAAAAAAATATTAACTTAAATCGATGACTTATTTTAATTAATTGTTTTACATCCTAAAATTCTCAAATAATGTTAAATCAAATTATTATCATTTAAATAAAATAATCATAATAAAATACCGAAAGTCAAAGTTTGCTTCACATACATACTGGTAAGCTTAAGCTATGTATCAGAGCCAAAAGTGGTAGCTTTTGTTCATGATTTGCCCATACAGAAACGATGAAGTGAACATTTGGTGAAGGGAATAAATTTCTTGCATCAATATATTAATAATTTAGAATTGTTGGATGAAATGGACAGTACAGTTCACATTTTGGTGTTGCCAGTCCGATGATATAATTTTGTTTGTAGCATCGAATTCACCAAATGCATCAAGACAATTAACAAAACAGAACCTTGAAACCTTCTTCATTGAAGTCTTGTTTCCCCACCAGACCTAGCGAGCAGCCACGATAGAACATCGTTTCTGACAATCTCAACATTTTCATCGGTCTCTCCGAACAGCAAGGAATGCATCATCCCGTCGTAAACCTTGATGGTCTTATCGAGGGTCCTGGCTTCGCGGTACAACTCCCTACTCACATCGGGGTCGGTGACAGCATCGGCGCTGCCGTGCAAGACAATGAAAGGAAGGTTGACATCAGAGAGCCTCTGATTGAGGAAGTCGGTAACCCTTAAAAGTTCGACGACGGTGCCCAACCTCGGCTTTCCGCGATACCTCAAAGGGTTCATGTTGGCGATGAGTTTCTTGCGGGGAACCTTGACGGACTTGAAGAGGAGATCGGGGGTGGGGACGATGGGGAGAGTGGGGAAGAATCTGGCGAGGAAGGTGAGGATCTGGGGAATGGGCCATCTGGGTCTGACGCTGTCGGAGATTTTGCACATGGGGGCGACTAAAACGGCGCCGTTGAAGGGTTCCGGGGAGAGGAAGTGTATGAGGAGGCAGATGGCGGCGCCCATGGACTCGCCGAAGAGAAAAGAGGGGAGGTGTTGGAATTGGGGGTTTTGTTGTTTGATAGAGTTGAAGAAGGACAGGCAATCGTCTGCGACGAGGTTTACGGAGGGGACGAAGGCTTTGAGGCCTTCGGAGTGGCCGTGGCCTTGGAGGTCAACGGCGAAGCAGGCGAACCCCGATTGGGCGAGGAAGATGGGGGTCGCTTGGAAGGTCCAGGAGATGTCGTTGCCGTAGCCGTGGACCATGAAGACGACGGCGCGTGGGGTGATGGTGGGGTTTGGAAGCCATGACCTTGTGAAGAGCTTGAGGCCACGCGCCGTCCTGAATTCCGATTTTGTGCCTCTGATTCCTTTGTGGTTGTAGTAGTCTTGTTCTGGGGTGAATCCCCAGTAATGAGGGTAGGATTGCACAAGCTTTTCCTCTTCTTCTTCCATTCTTCTCACCCAATCATCACTCAACTCCTTTCCATAACTTATTCATCTATCAACTTTATTGCTTCTTGCACCTCCACGATTATTAACTCTACCTGTACACTGACTAAGGATATAAGGTCTCAACAATGTATATACTTGTATGATAAACATATACTTGTGCTGCTTCAATACATTTTTAATTATATAATCTAAAATACAAATCTATATTTTAAATTCTATAATTCGAAATTTATAACATTCATATTTTTTAATTCCAGATTACATAATCCGAAAAACACAATCTAAATCTATAATTTCAATAAGGTACAATTGGAATTTTAAAAAAGCATGGAGGGCAGGAAGAAATTGCCGAACAAAGTGTAGTTTTTGGGGCTTTCTTTCTGTACCTTTATTTTTTCTTTCTACACCCCAACTTTTAATGTGATGCCACATATGTCCTTCTTAATATATAGAAAATATATAATTAATTAGGCAAGCAATAGTTACTGTTTATCAAATGTATTTACTACGAAAGTTGCTATGTTTACGGGCAAACCCAAGTCACTTTCAAGAGTAACTCCAATGGCGTTTTCTCTCTTCTTCCACTTCTACTTTCTTTTTCTTTTAACAATGTTTTCATGCGTTTCTTCATTCATCTTCGTTTGAAACATAGACATACTATTCACTTAATTCTTCTTCACTTATACGTTTTTTTATTGTCGGATTTGATATTTATTTTTTTATATTTTGTATGTACCAAACTTTTTGAAATGTAGATAATGAATCAATTTATTGGATTTTAAAATCTTTAGAATGAATAGTTTAGTTAGTCACTGGACTTCAAAATTTTATTAAGAAAAATATCGAATTTTGAAATCTTATTTACGGAAACAATAAATTTCAAAATCTAGTTAAGTAACTCACTAAATTTAAAAATGCATTAAATTTTAAAATTTGGTTTAAAAGTTTACCAGATTTGAAAATTTACTTTATGAATTTTTTATATTTTAAAATTCGGTTAGAGAGTTCACGTGATTTCAAAATCTGATTTACGAACTCATCAAATTTTGTAATCTGATTTAGGAACTCATCAGATTCTAAATTTCGATTTAGAAACTCAACAAATTTTGTAATTCGGTTTAAAAACTCATCTAACATTGAAATTCGATTTAGAAACTTATCGAATTTCAAAATCCATTTAAGGATACTACCAAATTTCAAAAGGAGGTTAAGTATTTTCTTGGGTTTGATAGTGTTTGTAATTTTTTTTAATTTATTTTTGTTTAATATTTTTATTTTTATTTTTAATTTTTTTTTGTTTATTTTGTTTTATGAATTTGTTTATCTCTAGTTATTATTATTGAACAAAGTAAGGTATTCTATATTGATGTCATGTTGTAAGTGGTTAGAATATTCGTATCTAAGATGAAATATTGTCCTTTAAATTTTATGGAATCACAAGTAAATTCAATTTCATGTTAGATTTTTTTCTTTTATAAATGAAATGTGGGAGAGATATTACACAAATAACTTTACAACTGATTAGCTTTTTTTTTCACAAGGGATGAGTTAATTTAGAGAGTTCATTGGATTGCTTTAGATCTTTATTTTATTGTTGTTATTATAAGATCTAATAAAATTACAAATAAAATTATTCCCTCGACTCTACGCGTCACAATTGCATATAAAATTTAAATAAGTCATCAACCACAAAAAAAAACATTACTAACTTGATTTTTCCATAATGCATATGTAACATGATCAACATAACTTGTCAACAAAAAAAGTGTCATGTGGACCTCCAAGATATATCGAACCACTTCATCTTATTGATGAACAACATTTTCATAATGCTCAATAACATTTTCATACTGCTCAATAACATTTTCCTACCACTCATCAACATATGACCAATTAATACTGTAACTTCTCCAACTTCACCACCACGACTCCTTATACGAGCATATGTCTAAGGTTTCTTTCTAGCTTCACCATGTGTTAAACTTTTAGCCCAGTATGTATTAATGTTCTTTCCATTTCTATAACAAACAAATTCAAACAAACATCAAAACTAATACATCTAACAAATAACTAAATTTAAAGAAAAAAATAAACAAAAATAGAACATACAAAATAAAGAAAATTAAAAAAAAAACTAACAAAACCATAAGTCATTAAAAATAAATTAATCACAACCGAATTTTGAAATTCAATAACTTTTTGAACGAAAAATCATAAACATTCCCTACACCAAATTTAAAAAGTTGGTACCTTACTTAACCTGGTCTCAAAATCTAGTTCTTTGTCTAATACGTTTTCTAAACTTGAAACTTAAGTATATATCGAACTTTCATTCCCAAATCAGTTCCAGATTTCGACAAACAGTTAAAATATCACGTAAATTTTTCAAAATTTTATCGAAATAAATAATACAAAAATTATATAAAAATGAATTTATCGGATGTTAAGGTTATCGTGAAAGAGGTTGGAGCGGGTGAGATGAGCTGAATGAGAGAGTGAAAGAAGTAAATGAAAGTGAAAGAGGGAAAGAATGTATGTGTTATGGGATGGAGGAAGGGGGAAAGGGTGAAAAATGAGAGAAAAATTAGGAATATGTGTTCTTTTCTACCGCATGATAGAGTGAGTACTGTGAGAAAGTAAATATAAGAGAGAGAAAATAAAATTTAAGCCTTTTAGCCAAGTCAAAGGTCAAAGAGTACTCACAAGTTTTGTAGAAAAAAATAGGGGTGCAAGAAGAAAACATGGAGATGCAGAAGATTCCCATCAATCTTTTCTTTCATAGTCTTGCAATAATAGACATGGAATGTATTGTGTTGATTTTTGTTTTCAAACTATTTTTTAAAATTTGTTTTATCACTAAATTGAATAATATATCTATATTTTAAATTTTTATTAAAATCATATAAAACATCATTTCAAACTCTACGTGGAATCTTTTTTATATGAAAAAAATGTTATACCATATATTATAACAACACATTTGCATATTATTTTGGTGAAAATAATATTTTACATAATTTATACAAAATACTCAAATGAATAAATATATAATTTATTTTAAAGACAAAATACAATTTTTTTAAATAATCTTGGAACGGAAAAACACATTTAATAAAAAAAAATTGTCAACGAACTTGCAGAATCATGCCTACCTATACCTATAACATTTCTGATTATAGATAAGCTTTTTTATAACACTTGTAGAAGATAAAAATGAAATAAAATTATTTTCTTCGTAACATAAATAAATTTAAAAGAAAACTAATATGCAAAAAATTCGAAAGATTTGTTGCTTTTTTTTAACATAAACTAATTTTAGTTTATAAAAAAACTTATTTTTTTTTTGTCTTTTCTTTTTCTTAGAAATAATTGTAAAAAAGTTCATAAAAATTTATCTCGAAAAGTTTAGAGTAAGGTAATGTTGACATGTAAGGGTGGTGTAAAGATAGGTACATATATAAATTATTTGTATTCTATTTTCACCACTAAACTCATTCTTTAATAATAATCCCCTTCCCCAAATGCTCGAAATAGTAATACCTAAATACACTGGGAAGAAAATCAAATAGTCAAAAAATCTGTATAATATAAATCTTTGATAGTGATTTGGGAAAAAAAAATAAATTTCATTTAAAATGATATTTTAGATCTTTTTTCCTACGTATGTGGCACTGAAAATGGTTAATGTTGGGAAAAAAGTGACGGATAAAAAGTTAGTTAGGAATAGAAGACACAGAAAACAATGATGAAGGTTGAAGAAAAAAAAAATGCAGAAAAAATTGCAGATAACGCTTCAGAGTCTAATTTCACAACCAAAGAGATCAACTTGTAATAGTTGGAGTCTATATTCTTTTCTGTTTGTCCCAAGTTGAAAATATTTGTTTAATTTTTTTGTTTACATTAGTTTTTAAGAATTTTTTTTTACTTTTTAAAAATATTTTTTTATGTAAGAGCAAATATATATTTATTTATTATTTAAATTTAAGAAAATATCGAAGTATTATAAGTATTTTATATTTTATTATACGAGTTAGTATATATATATATATATATATATATATATATATATATATATATATCATAATAAATATTTTGGGTGTGGAATCAAGATTCGACTTTCGTAGTAATTGTTGTTTTGTAAGCAGTTTTTTCTTTTGTGTTTTAAAACTTGGAAAATGTATTTTAATATTAAAGTTAGTTTAATATTTGATGTGATAGTTAAGGCATATAACTTAACTTTTTATTTCAAACTTTTATTTATAGATTTTGTAATAAATTTTTGATTAACGTTGATCTAGTTATGACTCTGTTGTTGTTCATATTGATCAATATATTTTAAAGTTGATCGATTTTTGTGGTAATCATCAAAACTCAATGACTTGCTCTTCAAGTCAGTGCTTGATTATTCAAGCTGGTGCATAATTGACAGTCATGTTTAATGGTCAACCAGATTGTTTAGTGGTATATTTGGTAGTCAACCGAGTTGTCTAGTAAGTGACTAGGCCGGTTGGTTTAATCTCTAAGTTGAGAGTCAACTTTCCAAGCTAGTGTATTATCATTTAGTTTCTCTAATACTAGTTTGCTCTCCAAATTAAGAATTAGTTATCTAAGTTGGTACATAACCGGCCAGTCTATTTGATGACTGATGAGATTTATTAACATGACCAATCAAACTAGGGTGTTACTCCCTCCACCCCCACACGTCTCTTCCTCCACCTCCCCAATTTTCTAAAATGCCAATTATATCCTTCTAAAATGACAATTATATCCTCAAAAGTTAAAATATTTTAATTTATTTAAAACTTCTGATTTACTTCCCTCTGCACCTCTTCCTCTCTTCCATTTTCGTTTACCTTTCTCTCTTCCGTTAAGCTTCTTCTCCACCTATAACAAATTCATATTTTAACAAATTCATATTTTAACAAAATTATTACGTTTAAAAACTAACCATATATAACATTTAAAATTATAAATTTAAATATAAATTACTGTAAATAAAATAAACAAATAAAATAAAAACGAAACGTAAAAGGAACACTGTCTCTGGACGGATGACATCCGTTGAAGGATGTCAT